AGAGGACTTACAGAGTCGGTGACTCAAGTAAGAGTCGTGACTGCACAGTCTGCCGTGGTCATTACCATAAAGTGCATTTTGAGTCAGAGTCCATGTTCTGAACATGTGGCTCTTAGTAGCCATGTTAAGGGGAAGGTACTTGGGCTATATAAGAAAGTACCCTCCCGCCTTCTGGAATCTAGTGCCCCCTCCACCATGTTGTCTGATGACAGTAACTACCCATGTTCTTGGTGCTGGGAGGCCACTCAGCCATCTCTTCCTTGCCTTCTGTTAGGGGTAGTATAATATATTTAGAAACTGATGGTGACAGTCTGGGGTCCCAGTGTCAGTTTTGCTTCATGTAAACTGTGACTTATTCAATGTAAGCATCAGTTAACCATAAGTGAATGTAGTAGTTGTACCAAAATAATGAGATATTTGTAAACATCCAGATGGGCAGCCTGTTTGGCCTGTCCCCCTCCCTCATTCTGCTCTGTTTGTTTGGCCTCAGTCCTATGATGTCTATGTGGGTGCTAGTCCTGTCCTAGCTAAGAGTGTGGGTAGACAGACACATGGAGCCCACATTGTAGTTAGTGCCAGGGATCATGGCCATTATCCACATGATTCCACTCAAGAAAAACCTCGGGCAGGGTGGGGCAGTGGTGGTAGCACATGCCTTTAAAAACAGCACTCAAAAGGCAGAGGCAGGTGGATCTTTGAGTTCCAGGGCAGCCAGGGCTATACAGTAAAACCCTGTCTTGGGGGGAAAAACACGAAAGAAAACTTCTGTGCACTTTGATTTCTTCATTAATGAAACAAAATATGACATTAATTAAATGTTCCATCCATGCAGGGCATCTTATAATATCAGCACATGGGAAGCTGAGGCAGGGGGATTACAATGCACTCAAGGCCAACCTGAGCTACTTAGTAAATTCCAGGACTGCAGTAAGGGTTAAGACCTTGTGTCAAAAAAAGGTGGTGGGGAGGTGGTCTGGGAATGTAAATCTCAGCATGCTCGCTAGATTTGATCCCAAGCACCTCTTCGTGGTGGCACACAGTAATCTCAGCACTCAGGAGCATGAGGTGGGTGGATATCTGTGGGATCCAAGCCAGCCAGGCTACATAGTGAGACCCTGTCTCAACACACACACACACACAAACAACTTTTCACCTCTGTTGGAAACTTCAGCTCCTTGCTATGCTGCATTACACATCATCCCCTGTTCTTGTCTTCCATAGATCTGTGGGGTCCTGGAACAGTCCACCTCCCCACCCCTGAAGCTGACCCCTATTCCAAGCATCTCTCCTGACCTCCAAGCCTATCTTCAAGGCAACACCCAGATCTCTCGGAAGAAACTTCTGCCTGTGCTCCAGGAAGCCCTGTCAGCATATCTTGACTCAACAAAGATGCCTTCAGGGCAGCTTGGGGTAGTGGGTACGTCCAGAGAGCAGGTGGACAAGGAATTGAACAGGGCAGGTAACTCCCTGATTTCCGGACTGAGTCAAGATGAGGAGGAGCCTCCGCTGCCCCCCACGCCCATGAACAGCTTGGTGGATGAGTGCCCTCTGGATCAGGGGCTGCCTAAGCTTTCAGCCGAGGATGTCTTTGAGAAGTGCAGTCAGATCTCGCTGTCCCAGTCTAACAGAGCCTGCCCATCAAATAAGTGATCATTGGAAGGAGGGTGGGGAGGTGTGGAGGAGGTGATTGGCCACCTCAAGTGCATGTGTTTGACATGTTTGACCATTTCAACAGCTGTGTCTATTGCTCCAGGGTCTGGTGTACTGTTCTCATAAAACTGGGAGGAAAGAAAGCAGCTGCTGGAAGAATGGCTTTCTGCCTCTCCTACCCGTTCTCTACCAGGCAGACAAATTTATTTAATTTTATTATTTAATCTGCACTGACTTTCCTTATTCTGTTTGCAATGGGTATGGTGTGATATCACTGTCCCAGCAGAGCAGGACTAACAGAATGTAGACCCTTTCTAAGTGTCTTCAGAACGACTGTGAGCAGAGACAGTGTCTGTCATGAAACCAATTAACTACTTGTCTCCATGAATTCACCATTTCATTTTTTAAAAGTTCTTTTTGAGACAGAGACCCATGTAACCCAGACTGGCCTTGAACTCTGTGTGTGTTGGGCTAGTCATGAACTCCTAATCTTCCTGAGTGCTGAGAGTAGTCATGTATTACCATGCCTGGCTAGTCTCTTGTCTTGAACATGTGGCAGGACTTCCTAGTTCTTTGGCTCCTTCTGTCCCAGCGTCACAGGAAAACAGGAGAGACCCTGAGGATCTAAGGTAGAACCCAGACAGCTGATGCACCTCATAGGCGTTTTTTTGCCAAGAGGGCAGAACTTGGTTGGGCTATGGATGTCCCCTGCCTCAGTGGGTCTGGCAGGTTCTTGTGTTTTTCTGGTTTTGCTCATATTAAAGAAAGAAATGTCTTCTGGTGAGACATTTCGCTGTTCTAGGTCTCATTTTCCCCATCTGTAAATGAGGGTTAGGAGTAGATGTTCCCTGGTATTCTGTGACCTGCCTCTTCCTGTCATCCTTGCCCGCCTCTGCTTCTTTGTATTTTTCCTTTGGTCTTCCCTGGGAGTGCTCAGGGTCACTGGATTGTGTGTGTTTATGTGTGATTGTACCAAGGGGCTTAGCCTCATGTAGCATGTACAGAGCTACATGGTGACCCAGCAGGAGCTCTTTCCCAATGACTTGTCTGCATGTGTAGTCTCTCCCGCCCCCCTTTCCCTGTTCTTACCCCATATAAATTGGAAGCACTGTCAACAGACTGTAGGGTGTGTGGTGGTTTGGGGCAGTCTGACTTCACTTTAGGGTAGCTATCGGGAACGTGGAATATTGGTGCGATCACTGAACCAAAGGGAATATGTCCTGTGACTTTGGTACTTGGTTTTGCATTTTTGTTTTGTATTAAATACTTTATTCCTGTTTGAGGTCTTGTCTCTTTTTGAAAATCTAGTCGGATCTTCCCTCTCATAATGGCTGCACCTCCTACAGACTCTTCTCCCGTTCTCCCATTCCTGCTTAGTTAACTCAGCTGTCTCTGTTCATCCTCAACCTTTCCTTGATTCCTGTCCCCAGAGCTTTCCTTAAAATATTCAGTTGTAGTCTCAGCTTTTTTTTTGAGACAGGGTTTCTCTGGGTATCCCTGGCTGAGCCTGCTCTGTAGACCAGGCTGGCCTCCAACTCAGAGATCCGCCTGCCTCGGGCCTTCCCAGTGCTGAGATTAAAAGCATGCGCCACCACCGCCTGTTCTGTTTTGTTTCTTTTTTTGAGACAGTCTCCCAAATTGCCCTTGCTTATCAAGTAGCTAAAGCTAACCTCTAATGTCCATGCAGTAGCCTCTCCCATGTTGGAATTGCAGGTGTGGGATGTCTAGTCTCCCTTATGCTGGAGAAGGAGGCCCAACATGGACTTAAACTGAACTTGCAGTCCTGCCTCAGCCTCCTGAGTAGCTGAAATTACAGGCCCTCACCCGGACCAGCCTTTAAAAGCTAGCTGTTGGGGTTGCAAGATGATGTGGACAAAGGCACCTAGTACCAAGATGACCAACTGAAGTTGATCCCTAGGACCTACATGGTAGAAGGAGAGTACCAATTCTCAAAGATGTCATATACACACATTCAAAAATAAAATGTGGCACACCCCCTTTAATACCAGCAGGTGGATCTCTGTGACTGTGGGGCCATCCTGGTCTACAGAGTAAGTTCCAGGACAGCCAGAACTACACACAGAGAAACCCTATCTTGGAAAAAAATTACATTTTAAGGGCTGGACAGATGACTTGGTGGTTAAGAGTACTGGCTGCTCTTCTAGCAGACCTGGGTATGTTTCCCAGAACCTACAGGGCTCACAACTGTCCGTAACTCCAGTCCCAAGAGATCTAACACACTTTTCTATCTCCGGAGAGCACCAGGCACACACGGTGCGTAGACACATATGCAGATGACACTCATGCACACAAAATTAAAAACAATATTTTTAAAGCTTCCAAGGCTAAAAAGATGGCTCAGCAGTTAAAAGTGCTTTCTTCCCAAGCCAGGTGGTGGTGGCACGTGCCTTTAATCCCAGCACTCAGGTGGCAGAGGCAGGTGGATCCCTGTCAGTTCGAGGCCAGCCTGGTCTACAGAGGAGTTTCAGGACAGCCAGGGCTACACAGAGAAACCCTGTTAAAAGTGCTTTCTTCTCGATCCTTAAGCCTAGATTTCAGATCCCAGCACTGTTGCAGTTCTACAAAGGCCAGTATCCCCAGCTTCAAGAGAGACTAAAGAAAACTGCTGTAGGATTCCAGCTTAACCAATGCAAAAGCCAGGATCCAGGGTTACAGAAGAAGCCGCCCTCTCCTGGCCTCCTTGCACGTGCGAGGGTGCACACACCCACTCATACACTCAAAAACACACTGAGGTGAAAGATCACCCACACATTCCATATTAAACTGTTATAAAATGTAAGACACTGGAAAATAAAGGGTTGGGGGGTTGGCTTAATGGATAGGCACTTATTCAAGGAAGAAGACCTAAGTTTGGCTGGGTAGGTGGGGCATCCACCTGTAACCCCAGCTCTCAGGGAATCCCTGGAGTTAAAACTGACTAGCAAAAACTAGACTCGGTGAGCTCTGGGTTCAGTGAAGACACCCTGCCTCAGATTTCCTGAATAAGATATCCAATGTTAGCTCCGGACTTCTCCAGGAATGTGCGCACACGCACATGCACACGCACACACACACACACACACACACACACACACACACACTCACTATCTTGTAATTACCCCCACCCCCCTTAAAAGGGCAAAATAAAAGGCTTCCAGGTTATAAAGAATCTGGACTGGAGAACAAATCGCCACCTTAGAAATCTCACTCTCACACCCGAAAGCCCGCCCCCACACAAGAGGCTGGGCTTTTGGGCAAACCTGCTCCTTGGGAGGGGAGGTAGCAAAACCTGTTTGAAGATGAGGTTACCTCCCTTCCACACCTCCTGTTCCTTAGAGGCAAGAGCACAGCTGAGACAGGAGAGCAGTGGGGGCCAGGACCACAGCCTCCTACCCTGCGGAAAGTGTCCACAGAGCACAGGGCGACTGGTGAGGATGGGAACTATACAAGAAACAGGAAAAAAGACTTTAGAAGTAGGGTAAGTAAGGGCTTGGCCTGACAAGACGGAGAGAGGGCGTTTCCTACCACCCAAGCCTTCCCGGGTTCCTCAAGGAAGAGCATGAAGAGCAGGAATTTAGAGACAGGGTGGTTTGGGGCCGGGAAGTAATACAGTATGGAACAATTCCACGGTTTAAGGTTCCTATCTTATGTCTGACAGACCACCTTCTCTCTCTCTCTCTCTTTCTCTGTCTCCCTCTCCCTTTCTGTCTGTCTCTCCCCCTCTCTCTAATCTAAGCCCAAGCCCCACCCTCTAGAATGGCCACTAGGAAACCTGGCCCAGAACGGAATTTCTACCCCGGTTGCTTCCCAGTGGATCTCCTTTCTTTCTCCCCGGCTTTACCTGTGCCATATTTCCCCAGCACAGTAGAAAGGCAGGGCTGACTCGGTGCCATCTGCTACTGCTTTGCTCACGGCTAACTGGGCAGGTCTGTCTGGGTTCCAGCCAGTTGTCATGTGGGGTGCCTTCTGCTCCTACACTGTAGGTGAAGCCACACGCTGCCATAGAGGCCAAGGGATCACGTGATGGCCCTTCCCCTCAGCAGCAAGTGAGTGGGAAAGGTAGACATAGACAAGTGCCCTCTGTGACATGTTCTTCACTCCAGTGTCTGCCACCTACCGTCTGGCTCCCTCAGGATACTGTCTAGGTTGTCTCATGATCATTTCTTCTGGGGTGGGGGGCTCTGATGTCAGGGCTGGGGAGAAGGCAGGCGTCGCAGAGCCAGGAGCAGCCCTGAGACTTGGAGAGCTGGAACTGAGGGAAGAATGGCAGGATGAAGAGTTCCCCAGGTAAGGCCGAGAGCCCTTGTCTTCCAGAGCACAGGCTTTGACTCTCATAACCTACACGATGGCCCACACCGTCTCTTAGTCCAGTCCCAGGGGATCTGACACCTTCTGGCCTCCAAGGGCACTGGGCACACCACACACACACACACACACACACACACACACACACACACACACACACCTGTCTGGGTGCTTGTGTGTAAGTCCTGGTTCAATCCCTACTCTAGATTGCTTCCGGAGGAGGCTGGCCCAGCTGGAGATCCCGAAGACCCTCACACAGACTCACAGGCAGGTAGGAAGGAGAGGGGCAGCGCGGCCTGGAGCTTGAGTCTGCTTGTGGGCTGGTTTTAAGGCGAGAGCCTTCGCTGTAGCTTCTGTCCTTGGCAGTCCACTTTCTCCCTTTCCACTTGCCCTGTGTCACTTCCCTGTCTCAGAATGCACAGGTGTGATCTCCTTTAAAATTTTATTTTAGGTGTTGTTGTTACTATTGTTGCTTGGGTTTTCTGTTTGTTTGCTTGCTTGAAACAATGTCTCAGTCCAGGCCCTGGCTGGCCTGGAACTCATTTATAGACTAGACTGACTTTGAACTCAGAGAGCTCTACCTGTCTGCCTCCCTAGCACTGGGATTAAAAGTGTGCACCACCACACCTGAGGTATTTCTGACAGTCTCTACTCGGAACTCATATGTAGCCTGAATTGGCTCAAACTTGAAGTTATCAGGGCTGGAGAGATGGCTCAGCAGTTAAGAGTACTGGCTACTCTTCTGTTTGATTCCCAGAAGCCACATGGTGGCTCATAACCATGCTTCACCCCAGTCCCAGAGGATCTGACACTCCCTTCTGGGCTCTGACAGTACCAGGTACACATGTAGTACACAGACAAACATGTATGAGAAATAGCCATACACACAGAAAAAAAAAAAAAAACAAGCAAACAGACAAAACTTCATCTGTCCTCCTGCCTCTGCCTCAACGCTGTAATTGCAGATGTGAGCCCCCAAGCCTGGTTTCATGACTCCTTATACAGAAGTCCTTGTTTAATATAGAGGCTCATGTAGCCAGGCTGCCTGGTGGTCCTCTTGTGTCTTCCTTTGCAGTGGCAGGGGTGCAGGATTTGGTTCCACCCTACGCAGGCATGTTGAATCGCCATCAACTCACGTGGGTTTTCCGCTTGGGTATTTCCCCTCCTATCTCCCAACCTCAGGTACCCCCAGCACTCTGGCCCTGTGTGGCCAGCGCCCCATGCGAAAGCGTCTCTCTGCCCCAGAACTGAAGCTGAATCTGACTGAGGGAACAGGAGACACTGGAGCTTCTCCCACCCACTCCGAGTCTTCCTCTTCGGATGGCAGCTTGGACCTGGAGGTGGATGAACTGGAGACGCCTTCAGACTCTGAGCAGCTTGACAGTGGACATGAATTTGAATGGGAAGGTGTGAACAATCCCAAGGATGGGGCTGATAAAATAGAAGCTGATAGAAAATGCAGGGTGGATGGATGGGATGGGATAATAGGACAATAAGGGGAGGCAGAAGTGTTGGCTCAGTGGTTAGGAGCACTGGCTGCTCTTCCAGAGGAGCTGGGTTTGATTCCCAGCACCCACATGGCAGCTGTCTGTAACTCCAGTCCCAGGAAATCTGATGCCCTTTCTGACCTTCAAGGGTACCAGGCACACACATAGGGTGCACATGCATACATGCAGGCAAAACACCCAGGCATATCAAGTAATAAATCTAAAAGAATTAAGAATTAAAACCAGATGATGTAGTGGCTGAGAGAACAGACCAGAAACATTGATTTCCTTAGAAAGGAAAGGGACAGCCTCCACAGTGGACAGGAAATCAGCCACAGTCTGGGAGGGAGATTTATGAAGAAAAAGATAGAAGCTTGACATGGTGGTCAAGCTTCCCAGCATTTGGGAAGCAGAGGCAGGTGGACATCTGTGAGTGTGAGGCTAGTCTAGAATACATAGTGAGACTTATCTCAAAAATAAAAAGCAAACAGACAAAAGAGAAAAATATTGAGGTTAAAAAAAAAAAAAAAGAGCAGCTGGGTGGTGGTGGTGGTGCATGCCTTTAATCCCAGTATTTAGGAGGCAGAGACAAATGGATCTCTGTGAGTTCGAGGCCAACCTGGTCTGCAAATCAAGTTTCAGGACAGCTAGAGCTATTACACAGAAAAATCCTGTGTAAATGCCTGTCCATGCTTTCCTGAACTAGGATTGAATCTTATCACTGTTGTGTTTGGGACAGGGTCTCTCTTGTAACCCAGGCTGTTCTCAAACTCAAGATCTTTCTTGTCTTGACCTCCCAAGTGCTGCGACTACAGCCACCAGCTGTCACCTGACAGGCCTGAGGTTATAAGGACAAAAAGCTGAGGTGGTGTGTGTGTGTGTGTGTGTGTGTGTGTGTGTGTGTGTGTGTGTGTGTGTGTGTGTGTTGTAGCTCTTAGGCTAAAGACTCTGGGAAGATTGCCAGGAGTTTGAGAACAGTCTAGCCTACAAAAGGAAGCTGTCTCCCAAATGAACTAAATAAACAAACAGACACATAAAGTGCCCTGCTCTTAGGAAATAGTGTTTAGTAGGAAACAACTGCCTATAAATAATTGCAGCTGACGTCAGGCTCTCGGTGGATGTCAGGGATTCAGAGGAGATGCCAAGTCAAGTTCTGAAGTTAAGGGTTGTGTTCATCAGGTTTGAAGAGGAGGTGTTCTAGGTAGACATAGCAAGTCAGGCCTGGCACACGGGGAATTCAAGCACAAAGCTGACTAGACATGAAGGGCTGGGAGGCAGAGTATGAAAAGCTAGTGCTTGGTTACACTGGCAAAGTTTGTGTCATGGTGGCCGATATGCTAAGGTGTAGACTAGACAATGAGGAATAACTGAAGGCTTTTTCTCCTGGTTTTTTGAGCCAGGGTTTCTGTGTATAGCCCTGGCTGGTCTCTAGAGATCTTCCTGCTTCTGCCTCATGAGTGGTGGGATTAAAGGTGTGCGCCACCTCCACCTGGCAACATGAAGGTTTTAATCATGAGATGTCGGGTCACATTTAATGGCTATAAACTGAAAACAACTTGGGCTCATACCTCCTTTGGCAAAGCCCTTGCCACACAAGCAAGAGGCCCTGAGTTAGATCCCTATACACATGTTTTAAAAAGCCAGAACTGTACGTGAGCCTGTGTTAAGAAGAGGGAAAGAAGTAAGAGTGTGTGAGTTGGAAACTGTGAAGCAACTTGTAATCCCAGCTATGGGGGACCCTGGGGTGGAAGGACTGAGAGCTCAATAGCTACATGGGATGCAAACTGAGTTTAGTTCAGAGTGCTGCTTGCCTATCGTGCGTGGAGTCCTGGGTTTGATCCCTAGTAGAAATGGTTGTGCTTACCTATAACCATAGGGGTTGGGAGGTATGGACAGAAGTTCAAGGTCATCTTTGGTTACATAGTGAGTTGAAGACCAGTCCAGGCAGCTTGAGACTGGGGTGGGGGGAATGAGCACCCTAAGGGGAAAGGGGAAGGGAAAGTTAAGGAGTAGTAGAAGAAAGAGGCACAAATTGTTGAGTTAATTGGATAAACTGAGAGCCAATGGAAATATTGAAACACGAGAGATTAAATAGTAAATTCAGCCAGATGGAGTAGTGGACACCTGGCATCCTAGCACTCTGGCTGGGCAGTAGTGGTGCTGTGCATTTAATCCCAATACTCAGGAGGCAGAGGCAGGCGGGTCTCTGTGAGTTTCAGGCCAGCCTGGTCTACAGATTGAGTTCCAGGACAGGTAGGGCTACAGAAAGCAAGCTTGTGTCCAAAAGAAAAAAGAAAAAAAAATTCCTAGCACTCAGGAAGCTGAGGAAGAAGGACTGGATTCTTCCCTTCTATGTTTTAGATGATTTGCCTCGGGCAGAGGGCCTGGGGCCCAGTGAGGCAGCTGAAAGGCTGGGCCGGGGTTGTGTGTGGGATGTGGCTGGAGAAGATGGTCATCGCTGGAGAGTGTTCCGAACTGGACAGCGAGAGCAGCGAGTAGATATGACCATCATCGAGCCCTATAAAAGAGTGCTGTCTCATGGAGGTAATGGCAAAGGCAATACAAGAGTAAAAATTGTGGCATTCTAGGCCAGAGGGTAAAGGCACTTGCCATGTGTGCCTGGTAACCTGAGTTTGAACCCCAGAACCCACGGAGAGGTGCAAGGAGAGAACTAACTGCAAAAATTGTCCTCTGACCCCCACCCACATGGACTCATACAGGCACATACACAATAATAATAAATGGAAACAGCAGCTATGGCAACAGTCATGCTGGAGAGATGGTTCAGCAGGCAAGAGTTCTTGTTGCTCTTGCAAAGCACCGGGGCTTGGTTTCTAGCAATCACATGACTACTCACAACTATCAGTAACCCTGTTCCCGGTGATCTCACAAGCTCTTCTCTTCTCCATGGTTTATATACATACTTGCAGGCAACACACTCATAAGAAACCACCCACCTACCCACCCACCCCCACACACAAAACCACTCTGACAGCTTGACTGACATCCCTTAGCTGGAAACTCAACAGGTTTAGCATCCTTTTTGTGACTTCCAAAGACCCTCTGTGTCCCTCATCCTAAATAGAAGTACTGTCTATTTACAGATTTGTAAGTAAGTGAATTTTCCTCATATTGGTTGGTCCCTAGGTTACCATGGTGATGGCCTCAATGCTGTCATCCTCTTTGCTTCCTGCTATCTACCCCGAAGCAGCATTCCCAACTACACCTATGTCATGGAACACTTGTTCAGGTGAGGTGGAAACACAAACAGGCTTGTAAAGGGGGTTAAGGGAGGAGAGTGGAAAAGACCCATGTCCAGAACCAGTAGCTGACTGGAGGATCTCTGTATTCATGTGTCTGAGCTCCCAAAACTCAGGGCACACACCTTCCCTGCAATATTGTTCTCCAGGTATATGGTGGGAACTTTGGAGCTGCTGGTAGCTGAGAATTATCTGCTTGTTCACTTGAGTGGAGGCACAAGCAGGGCCCAAGTGCCACCTCTGAGCTGGATACGCCAGTGTTACCGCACCTTGGATAGGAGGTGAGACCCAGGACAAGAGGGACACAGCTCTCTACTTCTTCCCCATTTTTCTATCTTTTTCTTCTTCCATTTGATTATTTTGTTGTTTCCTTTTTTCCTTTTCTGAGAATTAATTGCTATATAGCTCATGTTGTCCTCAAATGCAAGGTCCCCCTACCCTAGCCTCTTGAGTCCTGGGATCACTGGCCTGAGTTACCATGCCCATCTCCTTTCTTTGTCCATCTACCTCCCTTCAGAAGTGTGTCCTGTTGTATCTTGTTCAGTCAGGGACTATAGCCCTTAGGACTTAGTAGCTACAGTTTGGACACGTCACTTAGCTTTCCCGTTTAGATTCCTGTGAATTCCCATGGATGTTACCTGGTGCATGGAGTCACTTCCCTTTTCTCTAGGCTTGACACTTCCTTTCCATAGCTCTACTGCTTTCTCTTCCTCTTCCTACATCCCTGATGTATAAACCATTCCCTACTCCGGAGGCAGAGGCAGGCAGATCTCATTCCCCACATCATGTTCCTTTCTTTCTCTTTGTTTCCTCATCATTTGTTTGTTTCAAAGCAGGGTTTCTCTGTGTAACAGTCCTGTCTGTCCTGGAACTCACTCTGTAGACCAGGATGGCTTCAAACTCGCCTCTGCCTCCTTTGGGACTGAAGGCGTACACTACCACCACCCAGCCATTTACTTAATTATTCTATTGGAGATAGGATCTCATATAATCCAGGCTGGCCTTGAACTATCTATGTAGCCAAACAATCTTGAACTACTGGTCTTCCTGCCTCTCTAACTCCCCAATGCTAGGATAAAGGTGTTACCACCTTGCCTGCCTTGGGCCTTCTCGCCCTTGCTTAATTTTCTTTCATGCATCTTTTCCATTTTTTTATCCTTGCTGATCTTTTTCCTACTTAAGAGCTTTATTGTTTCTTGTTTGGGAGAGGGGCTTATTTTATATAGGGGCTCATGTAGTCTATGTTGACTTCAAACTCTCAATGTAGCCCCAGTTGGCCTTGAATTCCTGATTCACTTGGCTCTGCTGGGTTACAGAGTGCTGAGATCATAGGCATCACTACACCTGACTTCCTTGGAGGGGTTTTTTGTTTGTTTGTTTGTTTGGTTGGTTGGTTTTGGTTTTCCGAGACAGGGTTTCTCTGTGGTTTTGGAGGCTGTCCTGGAACTAGCTCTTGTAGACCAGGCTGGTCTTGAACTCACAGAGATATGACTGCCTCTGCCTCCCGAGTGCTGGAATTAAAGGCGTGCGCCACCAATGCCCGGCTCCACTGGGAGTTTTCTGTCACCAGGCTGCATAGTGGAAAAGGTGGAGAAGTTTGCAAAATGAATTTGTGTGGGCTGGAGGAAAATGAGTTGCAGAGACAGGGGAACTGTTAAATGAACATTCCCTAAACATGGAGTATAGAGAGCTAAATAAATTGGGACAAATTCAAGGCATGGGGATTAGGCACAGCTGCTGGAGAAATTTGGAAGAGAGAGACACCAAGGAGCCTGGAGCATAGAAGATAACCCACCTGCTCCCAATGGACAAAGGTGGAACAGGGATCATATTGGATTCTTCCTCAGGCTTCGGAAAAACCTTCGAGCTCTGGTGGTTGTCCATGCTACGTGGTATGTGAAGGCATTCCTGGCACTGGTTCGGCCCTTTATCAGGTACTAGTTCAAGGCACAAAGACATCTCTTTTTCTATTGTCACTACTGACATTAAGGAAGTGTTACTCTACTCTTTCTAGCCTTACCGTTCGGCTTGCTACATTTCCCTCTATGACATCCTCCAGGGTCACTCTCCAAATACAAAACATAATTGATTTGTTCTTTCTCCTCAGTTCCAAGTTCACACGAAAGATCCGATTTCTGGACAGCCTTGGGGAGCTGGCCCAACTCATCTCCCTAGATCAAGTCCACATACCTGAAGTTGTCAGACAGTGAGTCCTGCACTCAAAGATGCTGGTTTGGGATGAAATGTCTAAAGCCAATCCTGTTTCTTAATGTCTCTGGGGAGATACAAAGAACTAAGACACACAGGTCCTACTTTTGGTTCTCTTAGTGGGAAAACTACATACACCTGAAGCAGTAATTAAAGACACTATTAGACTTGTCAGTAACAAGTGAAGGGGGCCCAGTGATATGACTCAGTGGGAAAGTACTGGCTGACAAGGTTGACAACTTGAGTTTGACCCCCAGAACCTACAACCTACGTGGTGGAATAAACCCATGCCATGCATGTGTGCACATTCATAAATAGAATCAAACAAAATTTAAAGAACAAATGAGAAAATTATTCAAGACACCGAGAAAGACATCAAAGAGTAATCCCAGCACAGAAGATACAGGAGGTTCAGGATAGCCTTACAAGTTACAAAAAGTTAAGCCAGCAGCAAAGAGATAATGTCCAGTGGGGAGTGTTAGCCAGCAGACAATGGGAAGGGACTTAAGCACCCAATTTCTAGCTCCTCCAATTCACCTTGCTTCTTTCCCCCAACTCTGTAGGCTGGACCAGGATCTCCATGGCTCAAAAGGCACCTAATAGGAAACTGGGCAGAAGGCAATAGACTAGGGCCAAGATGGTGATGGCTCTGCACAGTGGAACTGTTATGTAAATCATCTCATCCTGACCCCAACTCCAGTCCCACCGGATCCTCTATTCTCCGTGTGATACTTCTGGACACTGTCTTCAAGCTGAGATTTGAAGATGGGAACCCTTATGTGGGTGGCTTGCACTTCCAGTAGGAAGACTGTGTAACATTGGAAATGCAGAACTCTGGGTTTTAATTCTCCTTTAGCTATAAAATATGTGGATCTCATTTTCCTTCTCTGTACTCTAAACCTTTGGGATCCTTCCCATCTTGGTTGCCTTAGCAGTTTTTTGAGGGAAGATGGAGGGAAAGTTAGGGCTTAACCAACAGCCACAGCCGGCCTGTCTGCTAGGAGCCCGGGAGTCAGCTTGCAAAATCTTGAAGAATCAACCCCTGTGATTCTGCTGCCTGTGATCCTGGGAAGGACTGCTGTCAAAACCTGTGTTTTCACCTTTGTTAGTAAATTCAGACCCGTGGCCTTTAATAAACCGATGAGAAATTTAAGTTGAACAACTTTACCCCCAAGCCCTTACATCATAATCTACCTTTCAGTTCTGGCACAGAATTCTTGCTTACCAGGGTTCCTCGGGATTTTCAGCTCAGCCCCTGGGGCTGCTGGCCCTTCGTGGGAAGAGCACTTAGGGGAGGGGCGTGCCACGCGCCTTGGAGCACCCTCCCGGTCAGTTCAAACGACCTCGAGACCTGGCGGGTTGGTGGAGAGCAGAAGGGAGGGAGAGAAGGTAGGAGCCTGGGCCTACCTCTCGACCCCAAGCTCCCAGCTCCATGGTCCCCGCCGCCTGCATGCTGCTCTGGGCCCTGCTGCTTAGTCTGGGGTCCCGGGCGGCGGGGGCCCAAGACCAGACGTCAAACCCAACCGCCACCCCGACTGGGGTGCAGCGGATCAGCTTCCGCTTTGGGGGCCCAGCCCGCAGCCTCCGGAGCACAGGCGTCACCAGCCGGAACAGTGTACTCCGGAAGACGAGGGTAACTCTGGAGGATGAGAATGACGCCCTAGCCACTGCTGACCGCCTGGCCGCCCCGGCAGCCGCTGAGCTCCTGTCCACTGTGACAGGCATTAGCCGGTCGTCATTGGCCACCTCCGATTATGAGGATGGCTCCTTGGAAGAGGGGGTTGTGGTTGATACCAAAAAACCCACTGTGTATTCGACCCCCAATACGATGGGAAGTATTAGCACCAGTAGGTTTACAGCCAATAGCCAGGAGCGAGAGATTAGGATGACCACCGATATGCCATTCGTCACTTCAAAGTCTACTACTGTGGACCTGACTTCTGAAACCACCCTGCACCAGTGGTCATCGACACCTGGGTCCACCCCAAACTCGTGGCCGTCATCCTCACCCACAGCCATGCCATCTCCCGAGGATCTACGGGTGGTGTTGTTGCCTTGGGGACCGTGGCACTGCCATTGTAAGTCGGGTACCATGAGCAGGAGCCGTGCTGGAAAGCTGCATGGCCTTTCTGGGCGCCTTCGAGTTGGGGCACTGAGCGAACTCCGCACAGAGCACCGGCCTTGCACCTACCAGCAATGTCCTTGCAACAAGCTCCGGGAGGAGTGCCCTCTGGACTCGAGTCTGTGTACTGAAAATAGCTGCAGCTCTCATACCACCGTGATCAGCACCGCCTCTCTTCGGGTCCCTGTTCACCTGAGACGCAGACCCATCCTCCCATCCACTAGCCCGAGCCCTAGCCCAGCTCTTGCATTTTGGAAACGTGTCAGAATCGGCCTAGAGGATATCTGGAATAGCCTTTCTTCAGTGTTCACAGAGATGCAACCAGTAAGTTGTTTTGCTTATGGGCCAGGACTTCCCTTGATGAATCTGAAAAGTCCCGATGTCCTAAATCCTGTTGCTAACATAGCCAATATACTTGTAGGAGGTGTTATGACTTTCCTGTTTAGTTACTGAGTCATAACTTGCACTGACTATCCTTGGCCCATTTTGTGTTTTGTTTGGTGTGTTTGAGGTGCACATGCCCATGGCACTGGGGCCTGAGTCCCTACCTCACTTACGGTAGGCAGTAGGCAGTATTCTACAGTTGAACTGTACCTCCATCTCCACCTTGCTTTTTCCCAAACCCTGACTGATTTTCTTGTTTTGGGGGTTTTTCTGTTTTTTTGTTTGTTTTATTTTGTTTTGAGACCAGGTCCCCACTATCTTGTCTACCCTGGGCTTTGACTCCTGGGCTGAGGTGATTCTACCAACACCTCAAACTTCAGTATAGTGGGAAGCTCAGCTAACTCACAGATATTCACCTGCCTCTGCCTTCTGAGTACAGGGGTTAAAGCTGTGATACCATGCCCAGCAAGACAGTTTCTTGGGGTTTTTTTGTTTGAGACAGTGTTTCTCTATGTAGCCCTGGCTGTCCTAGAACTCACTATGTAGACCAGGCTGGCCTTGAACTCAGTCAGATCCTCCTTCCTCTGCTGGAATTAAAGGTGTGTGCCTCTGTGTGTGTGTGTGTGTGTGTGTGTATGCCTAACCCTAACCCTACAAAGCACTTGAGGTCACAGGACAGCTTGTGGGAGTTAGTTCTCTCATTCCACCATGTGGTTTCAAGGGATCACACTCAGGTTGTCTGGCTTGGAGTTATCACACAGCCCAAGACAGTCTCTTATAGACTCACTGTGTAGCTAAGGATGTGACCACTTCTATAGTGCAGGGATTACAGGCCTTGTCTTACTACTTTTTGAACATATACTAGTCATTTAGCCATGTCTTACTGGTCATCAGATTATTACTCACCAAATAAAGTTGTCTTTTCCTTTTTGAGAGTCTACTTAGTAGAGTCCTGGCTGACCTCCCCAGTTTTCCCAACATTCATAGACAATGGACATGGGACTATTAACTGATTAATAATTAATGGAGTTTTAAAAACCATTGTGTAAGGGTATTTTGCTTGATATATGCCTGTGTACCATATATTCTTGGTGCCCATGGAAACCAACAAAGGGATGATTCCCTGGAACTGTTGTTACAGATGGTTGTGAGCCGCCATGTGAGTACTGGGAATTGAACCCAGATCCTCTGGAAGAGCAACCAATGCTCTTAACTGCTAAGCCATCTCTCCAATTCTAATAACACACTTTTGACTTAATGAACTGTAACAGTAACAGCCAGTATCTAAGGTCTCACTCCAGATAAGGCACTTGGGTCTGTGCTTAGCTTATAGGGTCCTGTTCACAGATGAATAGGCAGGTTTACAAGCTAGAAGGGCTGGGGTAGTTCAGTGGTCTTGCCTAGTACATGCAAAGGCAATAGGTTCAGTCGCATCACTGAAGAAACTTTTCTAGTTATACCCATGTTCCCAAAGGACTGCCCTTTTTTGGGACTCTATTCAGCAACTTAAAGTTTCACAAAGAATCTGGGTGTGGTGGTGCCACCTTTAATTCCAGTGTTTGGGAGGCAGAGACAGGCAGACCTTTGAGTTCAAGGCCAGCCTGGTCTACATAGTTCCAGCACAGCCAGAGCTACACAGTGAAACCCTGATTCAAACAAACAACAAACTTAATAAGGGTTCAGACTGACTCTGGTCTCAGTTGCTAGGGATGACGCAGGAGGAAAAGACAATCAACACAGGGCATACTTGGTGATTTAACTGGTTTCTATTTTTGTTTTCCTCCTGGTAAGTCCAATTCTATTTTTAATATAAAAACAAAGCACTTTGAGGCTGGAGCCGTATGTAGTTGGGTTAGTAGAGTGCTTGCCTAGTATTGGAGAAGTCATGGACTTGATTCCCTGCACCGCAGACTGGGCATGTGATGTACACTTATAAAGTCATGGGTTGGTAGGTGAAGGCAAGAGAGTAGGAGTCCCTGTCGTTGGACTGGAAACACGGCTCAGTGCTCAAGAGCATTTACCTCGATCATCCAAGGGACACTGGTTAAATTTCCAGCACAACTATCAGGCTCTCACAACCACCTGTATAACTCGTGCTTGAGGAGGGATTCAACACCCTGAACTCTGCAAGTACCTGCATTCACATGTATGTGCACTTGGACACACATGCAACTAAGAACAAGTTAAAACAAAAACCCAAAATCCAAAAAACAGTTCCAGGTCAGGCCAGGAACATGACTCAGCAAGTAAAAGTGCTGACTCAGCAAGTACTGCACCGGCCTAATGACCTGAGTTCAATTCCCAGAAGCCGTGTGAAAGCCCAGGCGTGGAGACACATCTGTAATCCCAGCACTCATATGGTGATGGAAGACAGAAATGAGATACTGCCTGAAAAAAACACCTGAGAAAATACTCCCAAAATGCTGACCCCTGAATCCACACGCGTGCCACTGTACAGCCAAGCCCCCATTCCCACAATTTTTTTTTTTCTGAGACTGGGTATATACAACCTTGTTTGGGCTGGAATTCACTATATAGACTGGGTTGGCCTCAAGCGCCCACTGCTGAGATTAAAGGTATGTGTTACCATACCTGACCAGCTCAAAAATCTTTAAAAAAGAAAAAAACTTCAAGATCAGCCTGGCCTACACGATATCCTGTTTAAAAAAAAAAAGGAAGAAAGAAACCTAAACAAAATAAAATGAAGAAACATAAAGCATAAAGAGAAAGCAGAGCTGGGGGTGGTTCAGTGGGTAAATGCTCGCTGGGCAACCATGAGGAAAGTTCAGATCCCCAAGCACCTCCATAAGTCATGCATGAGTATAGTGGTCAAGGAGACAACAGACAACTCCTGACACACACGAGGACGTGTGCACTCACACACGCACACCAGCAGGATTGAGGAAATGGTTTGTAGAGGGTAAAGCAAGGAAAAGAATGTAGATATGATTATAATCTCTCCTTTCCTCTATTTTCTTGTCCTCTCCAGATAGAAAGAACCCAGAGGTAATGGCCACATCGCCTTCAAGAGAAGATGTCTGCATTGTAACCTTCCTTTTCAACCCCAGCACCCACTACATATTTTTAATACAGAAAAAAAAAACATTAAAAATATATATATTTTGGTCTGATATTTCTTTTTGGTGGTGACTGAGCCAAAACCAAGGGCTCCGCACATGCTCAGCGACCGCTCTTCCACTGATCCTGTGTCTCTTTTGGTTTTTTCTAGACAGGTGACAGGGTTTCTGTGTAGCTCTAGCTGTCCTGGAACTTGCTCTGTAGATCCGGACGGCCTGGAACTCAAGAGATCCACCTGCCTCTGCCTCCCATGTGCTGGGATTAAAGGTGTGTACCACCACCTGGCAGGTTTTGTGTCCTGACAGAAGTACTTACTCAGGGAATTTAAAGCACTTGTTCCTCTACTCCCTGTCTTCCAAGATAAAAATGTTCACACTGCTCATTTTCCTCATTTCCAGCACTGTTTAAACAAATACATTGATTTTTTTGAGGCAGGGTCTTACTTTGTAGTCCCTGATAGCCTGAAACTTGCTGTAGAGATCAGAATAGCCTCAAACTCAGGGATCTTCCAGCCTCTTGAATACTGATTAAGGGTGTGTGCCATCACACCTGGTCAAAATAAATAGTTCTGAAACACCAAGGTGGAACTAGCAAGAACAAGGAGTTTGGCCTCTGAGAACTGGTGGCTTTCTTTATCTACCCAATACTCAGTCCTCTTCAGGAAAAGCCATGCTGGAAGAAAACTCCATCTCAGCCACTTTCAAAGTTTTTCATCAGCACCCCCTCCTCCCCCTTTGAGACAGGATTTCTCTGGGTAACAGCCCTGGCAGTCCTGAAACTCACAGGGATCCACCTGCCTCTGCCTCCCAAGTGCCTGGATTAAAGTGTGTGCCACCAGGCCCAGCTATTACTTTTTTTAATGCCCATCTTTTGATCTAACACACATTTGTAGTGATTACTCTGCAACTATTTTGCTTAAGTCTTTTATTGGAAAAATGTATCTTAAAAGTCCATCAAGTTTATAATATAAATTATGACTCTCAACCCTTTCCAATCACCTTGTTAAGTGGTGGTGGCATATACATTGGGGAAGGTAGCTCAAGGCAGGAGAGCATCAGAGAAGGCTGTGCCCAAATTAGTTAACAAAGACTCGGGGCTCGCCCATACCTCGTCCCCTCCTGGAAACTCCTGGGAGCCCACTGCCCAGTGGGCACAGGTCCACTATGCCTGCAAGTGTTCATTTGGCCCCCAACTAATTACACCTCCAGAGCAATGAGTTAAGCCCCTTCGAGGGGCAGGCCTGCCTGACAGGAGCTGCAAACTGTGGAATGGATGTCCACAACCAATGGTAGAGCCTGAAAAACCACAGGGAGCACACCAAGCTTTGTACAAATGAAAATCTCAGTCACTAGGTGAGGAGTAACTGGATGGAGTCAGCAGGAGTGGATCAGTTTCCACAGCCCTGACCCATTACCACACAACAAGCTTCCTATTACAGAGCTAATGAGACCCTAGCCCTCTTTTCTAGCATGGGCAGGAGCTCATCTGTCTTGTTCTGCCTTTCTAATCAGCCTGCAAAGAAAGGACCAGAACAAAAAGACCTGAGAAAACAAAGGACCCAAAGACTCTGCTCCCACAGAGCTTCCCATCTAAAGCAGGATGTTCAGCCACGTGGTGAGTGACACCCGATCTCCCAACTAAACTCCCTGAGTCTTATGCTGGGTTTAAGGACACAGAGGAGCTCAGCACACGGACAACATAACCCGTTCTCCTCAGCGTCTGGTCCCTCGTCTCATCCCAGCATACCCTGTCATGTCTATGCACTGTGGGAGGCCCTCTTACTGAGAATGTTTGCACAGACTTGAGCCCATGCAAGCACACGCAATGACATCTGGAGAGAAAGGTGTGCAGCTCTGCCGAGCCTGCCATGGCTCAGGATGAGTAACCAGACTAGGGGTGGGGGTAGGGACATGTGGAAATCACTTAAGAAAAACCTATCTTGACTCTCAAGGTGCGGCTCTCAACTGTGGGTAATTTGGTCCCTGGGAGACATTTGGCAATTTCCTGGAGCATTTTGGTTGCCACACTAGGGTGGGCCAGAGATACTGTAGTTTATTGTGTGCAGAACAGCCCTCCATCACAAAGAATTATGCAGCCCAAACTGTCTTCAACTAATTGAATTGAGAAGCTAGACTCCCATAAAGGATCCTAAGACCTGTGGGAAGGGCGCCTTCAACCTATTTACCTCACCACTGTTGAGTTCCTAACAGGAAGTCCATCCTGAGATATAGCTAATTTCGCTACATCCTGGCTTTTTATCTGAACCCTCCTCTTCCTTTCACCTGGCCTGCAGGGAGGCTGACAGAGGGTTAGCCAGGACTTCCAAGTCTTAAATGGAATGTGGTCAAATTAAGATCCATCCCTCACCTCTTATCAACAGGAAACAACAAGATTCTTAACAGGGATGAAGCAAGGACAGAGATAGCATCAGGATGGGGGTAATTAAAAGAACTCAAATTAAACTTTTAATTAATTAAAAAAAATATTTCTGGGACACTATTAACACTACTGAAGCATGGGATTAGAGGCCTAACTGGAGCAAGACCCTGGTGCCGGCAGAGACATGGAGCGTTGTGAGCTTAAGGTCTGAAATCCAGCGTGGACTGGGCAGTGCTAACCCTGCCCCTTGACCTCTGCATTGCTCATTCCAGAAGGACGAGAGGGCAGGGAGGCAGCTGAGGTCCCCTCACCTACCTGCCTCATTTAAAGAGTAAAGGCAAGAAGTTTAAACAGGTGGCACCCGACCTTCATTCAGGAGCAGGGAACTCATTCCAGGTTCCCAGAGAACCCCAGCTCAGATCTAAGGTGCCCAGGGTTGCAGCTGAGCTCCTCTGGCCCACCAGTAGTCACTTGGTCAGTCCTGCTGCCCTGACCCCATCTCCAGGAGGGGCAGAGGCCAGAGGGAGTAGAGGGAGTCCAGCCCCCATGCCTTTTGAGGCACTTGTTAGGAAGAGGGGAAGGAGAGGGGCTCTCGGGTCACTGGTTGTAGAAGGGATCTGGTGAGGGTGGCATTTCTTCTGGGCTGGACATAGAATGGGAACTTCAAGACTGCAGAACCTGAATTTAAATTAAAAAAAAAAAAAAAAAAAAAAAAAAAATCAACTGTTGGTCTCACACTGTAGCCCAGGCTGCTCTTAAATACACAGGAATCTTCCTGCCTCAATTTCTAAAATGCTAAAATTACAGAGCAAAGGAAGATCTAGAGACTGACACAATAGCACACGTGTAGTCCTAGCTCTTGGAAGTTTCTGGATGGAGGATACTGAATTTAAAGTCAGCCTGGGTTACAAAGTGAATTTAAGTCACTTCAGCTACTTATCAAAACCCTGTTGAACAAGAAGAAAAAAGCAGTCTGCCCTCAAAGAAAACAAATCCTGAAGAAGACACTATATAGTACACATCTTTGTGGGGGAGTACTAGGAGACAGTCTCACTTCACAGTCCTAACCTCAAATCTGCAGAGACCCCCCAAGTGCCGGGATAAAGTGTACACCACCACGCCCAGCCTATATATAGTGTACATTTACAATTTCCATAAGCCTCTTTCCTCAAATTTTGTTTTTGAGACTAGATACCATGTAGCCTTTACTGACCTTGACTTCATTATTTGTTAAAGAGAAGCTTGAACTATTCCTCTTGCCTTTACCTCCAGTGTGCCAGGACTATGGGTGCCACCATGCCGCCACCCCCAGCATTCCTGTAAAGATCCTACATCTTTTGATCCTGAGTTCCCAAACTTTCATTTTAATGCTTTGTTTCCACCAATTCACTTCTAGGTCTCACATGGAAGGAGTAAAGGTCTGAGGCAAGGCCTCAGGGTATGCTGGCACAGGCACAGGGTCAAATGGATTTCTCTTGTCACTTACCAGTCCCGTAGGAGCTACAAGGCCCTAGAATTGCTCCATGGTCTATCTCGGTTTCCCTTGGATCTCATCTGCTCCTGAACTGCACCTGTCTGTTGAAAAGCACGTATCACACAGTCGCCTAACTCTCCACATTGCACAACAAGCAACAATTAACCCAGTGCCCCCAGGAGGGGCTTGACCTCATCTCTCTTTTCTGACAACGACATCCGTCTAAGACTTTAAACCTGATCACCATTGTTCTCAGAGAAATCTCATGAAGACAAGGTAAAAATGAGTCATTTACTAATGAGATACACACACACAAACTCCACTATTTTTTCTGTGAGTTTTGTAACCAGTATTAAAAACTTTGTCCAGACCCATCTCCCTTACTGGGAACAGAAATGCATTTAGACATTTAGAACAGTCTCTTTCATGGTCCAAGACTCCCAGTCACAATATGACTCACTCTGACACTGATTCAACAGGTTTTCCTTTTCTATTCTGGGACAGGGTCTCCAGGCCAGGGTGGCCTCAAACTCCCTATGCAGGATGACCCTGAGCCTGTGATCCCTAATTCCTGAGTGCTGAAGTTACAGGTACGAGTCACCACACCCAGTTTCTGTAGTGCTGGAGATCAACCTAGGATTGTGCATTCGAGGAGAACACTCTACCAAATGAACTACAAGTCTAGCTCTGAGTAGTTCTTAATAAGGAGCCATGGTTTGAGAAGTTCTCCAACTATTACAACATATATACCCCTCACTCCAATGAAGAGCCATATGTTAACTGTGAAGAGGGGAGCTAGAGCTAGCCCTAAAGATAAAAAATGCACACCATTGGGAACCAGGCCCACAAGCTAATATTCTTGTTTCTCCATTGAGTATTGTTACTTGGCTACACCCCCAAATAAACACTCCTCCCTTCCCTTATTACCATGGCAAGTCCATCTCCAGCCCCCATCTCTCCTGAGCCGATGTGAGTCAAGTGGACAAAATTCATTGGTTCCCCGATCATGGTGCGGTCAATCCGTCTTCTCCTCTTCTTCTGCTTGGAGAAGACAGGGAGTCACATATGCAGCCATTCCACCATGGAGGATGGGGAAGGAGTTGTGAAAAACCAGTAAGAGTTAAAGGTTGATTTGGCAGCATAATGGGCAAACATCAGAGTAGGAAAGACAAAGTTGGAATAACAAATCAGAGACAATGTCACCGGAGTGGTAAGGACAGTGGCCTGCTGAGTGAACATACAAAGAAAGGCCAAAGTAAAGTCACCTCTGGATGACAAGGGGACAATGACAGGTCTTAAGTTCTATCTACAATCCCTGCCCACCTCAGAACAGGAGCAGGTGACAGCTAGAACCAGTCAACTCTTCTGTCACACAGTCTCCTTTATTGCACGTGAATACCTGTCCTCCACAGAAACTCCCAAGAGGTAAGCAAGAAAAGGGTTTTTCAGACAGCAGATCAGAGATGGCGTGCCCACTTCACAGCACATGGTAACTAATTCCTGTGTGTCGGGTGGGGACAGAAGACTTACCGGCTGAGGCTTCTCTACCACGCAGCAGCCCAGTTTGTGCCAAAATTCACTCATATTCCCTGATGGTTCCAGCTTCAGGCCTCTGCCAGAGGCCCCAGAGGGCTCTTGTTTTGTTGTTAACCACCCAGTTCTCACTCTCAGAGGTAATAATAACCTGGATTCACACAGCTGGATGGCTCTGGAAATGTGGGAATCCTAGAGACCCTTTGCCTTGCAGTGAAGGTTAGACTCTCAGACCCGAAGCCACTAAAAGCATCAGCAAGAAGCTTGGGCAGGCAGGCACAAGGTTCTGTCTTCTTTAGATGTGGACGCCTGAATTTTAGCAGAAAGAAAAAAAAAAATGGTTAGTGAGAAACCATCCCTCCCTATTCCCATTCCCCAGAGATCTGGTAAGCCTCCATCTTCTCATTTGGAGGCTCTGCTACTGTACCCCACTCCTGACCCCCTTCAAACACAGGAGGCTCACAATAAATAGTACAAAAAGATCATCAACAGGGAAGGGGCGACGAGCACTGGGACCAAGGAAGAGGGGAGCTAAAGGGACTTTGGATGAGACAGTGAGAGAAAACCAAAAACGACAGAAATGAACACAGGGTGCTACCAACTTCAGCTCCCCTTTTCCTGGGCTTAGGGCGGGAGGGGAGGGGCATGTAAGTAACCCTGAAGAGGAAATAGTGGTTTTTGTTCTCACAAACAAGGTCTCCACCCTGTCCCTCCCGTTCTCTTAACTTTCTTTAAGGACCACCTAGTTCCTAGGAGACTAACTGTAGTAGTGTGGACCTCAAATACTCCTGGAGTGAGGAATTTCTTCCTTCTCTCTCACTCCTCCCAGCTGAGGTCCAACGGCCTCCCAGAGCCCATTTAGAGTTAATATCTGACCTCGCCTTTCCCGAAAGCTATGTAGACTGTGTGCGTGCCTATCCGTGGCCCTAGCTCCACGGCTTGCACACGTAATGTGTGGGCTCACTTTCTGTTCTGAGGAATCACTTTGCAGCCTCCCCACCCGTGTCCCATCGTGTAAAGTTCTGCAGTTTGGTGTCTTACACCCACGTGAGGCCCCCCCCCCACAGGCTCTCTTCCTTCTCCACACTACTTCCAAGCTCCATCAGTGAACCAGACACAGGAACTTTCCAGTAGCACTTGTGTCCAAGCAAGAACCTTCTCCCCCTTCACTGCTGCCATCCTGGGGTGACGGCCCATCGGAGTTTCCTCTGTGCAAACTGTACTTCCCTCTATTGCACAGTCCAATAGGGCAGCTCATGAATATTAAAACATTAGCATGAATAGGAATGAGCCTTTCCCTCTAGGCTGGAGGCTGGGTGCTCCAATAGCCTAGACAGAAAAAAAAACAGTTTTGTTTTTTGAATGTTTTTCTTTGTTGTCTTTTAGAAGCCTTGAGATGAGATCACTCAAGCAATGGATACAGCTTCTGGGGAGGAAAGAACCCAAGAGTCTGGGCTTTCTTTCACTTCCCTTCCCACCCCTGGAAGGGAGGAGTAACCAGGACTGGTCAGAACATAGCTGCCCAGAGAGGGGAGGCTTGGTCAGTGGGAAAGTCAGTCACAAGGCTTGTCATGACGGTGGCCGGTGGTAAGGGTTGGGGGAAATGGAGAAAACAATAAAGAATCAGAGGAAACCCCCAACACTACCAGACAGTCCATGCTGAGGCTGGACTCTACCCAGGATTCTCCACCCTGCTCAAAGCTGAGTGGACAGAGGTGGCCAATGCCGGGAGCAGGGAAGAGGAGGGAGAGAGGAAAGGGGGCCTGGAGGGAACAAGGACGTTTCTGTTTCTCTTCCAGGGACCTGACCAAGCTGGGTGGAGGGAAAGTGTGTGTGGGACTTGGCATGAAACAACCAATGATGATGAGAAGTGACCAGGAAATTCCATTCCCCAGGACATCAGGGTCTCTGAAACTTGGAGGCGGCGTCAAGAGTGTGAAGACAGGCCAGGGTCACTGTGGTAGTGGGGGGCGGGGGAGGAACAAAGCCAGAAAAGGAAGTACTAGGCATTGGCTGTCACTCTGTTTAAAAGCGGCCAACGATTGGGATGGGGACAAATGAGGCCTTGGCTGGTTAGCTGAGGAAAAAGTAATGCTGACTGAATCCACTGCCCACTACTTCATCCCCACAGAAAAAAAAGGAAGGAGATGAGAAAAGAGAAGGGATCGATGGTTAGACAGCATAAAGCCACATCCTGACATCGGCCCCCACTCAGTTCCACAAGAAATCCAGAAGCTGGAATGAGAATCTCTACAAGCCATGGTCACGGTCACAGTGGACCTTGAGGACCTGAGAGCTGGGGGGGGGGGGGGCGCAAGCTGGAGAGGAGTAGGGAAAAGGAACCGGGGAAGGAAGGATGTACACAGGTAGTTCCCCGGTCCTGTGGTAGCCCCAAACCGGTTTTCCCAGTCCCGCTGCCTCAGCCCCAAGGCCTCCAACCCGCTGTCTGACAAGCCTTCACAAGAAGCAGCTGGAGAGAAAAGCGACTTGAGAATGGTGTGGGCAAAATCTGGCTGTAAGCCCAGCGATGCAGCTGGTCCCTGTGTGGAGACCCTCCAGACACCGCGGGCTGCTGAGGGGCCCTGGAGAGAGAAATGGCCCCATTTTCAGCCAAGTGACAAACATTTGTCCTAGCACCAACCCTGCCCTAACCCCAGGGAAGGGCTTCTGGGGACTTAGGAAACAGGAGACCCTAATTTGTTCCCCTCCCCCAATATTTTCCACCAGACTCCAGCTGTCCCCCCACCCACACCGAAGTAGGATGGGAACCTCGGTGGATCGTTCTGGCTCTGTCACGATTCTCCGTGGCTGCCTCGGTCTGGCTTAGTACCACTTCGTTTTGTCTGGGACAGCAGATCTCTGAGGTTAGTGAGCGGGCGAGGAGCCCCCGTCGCTTCGCACCTCCCACCCGGCCCCACGCTGCAATCTCCGCGCCCCTGCCTCTCCCCGGCTTGCGCCGCCCGCGCGTGGACCGTGACCGCGACCTCCTCCTCCCCGCCGCCCTCCCCTCCTTCCCCGCCGCCCGCACGCACGCAGCCGGCCCGCCCGGCGCTCTCACCTGCGGCTCCCCGGCGTCCAGGCGGTGGCCGCTGCGGGCGGGGGCTCCGCCACTCCGGGTTCCGGGGCTGCTGCTCGGCACGGCGGGGACTCGAGGGCGGGCCGGCAGAGGTGGGGCCGGCCGAGGGCGGAAACGCCGGCGACGCGATTACGAAACCCGCGGGCTGCGAGCCGAGCGCAGCGCTCCGCCCAGGCCTGCCGGGGCACACGGCGTGGCCCGCGGGGACAGCGGGAAGCACCGCGCTCCCGGACACCCGCAGGACCCCAAGTGTCTGCGCTCGGTCTGTCCACCTGCTGCAGGTGCAGAGGCGACCACGCGCGGGGCCCTTCCCGAGTCTCCCAAAGTCCCCTCGGTCCTTACGGTGGGGAAGAAGACTTATTAACCCAGACGGCTAAGTTAGAGGACAATTAACTGCTCAGCCATTGCGCCCCAGTCAGCACAAGGGTGCTGGAAAGGTGGGGGTGCCGTGCGTGCCCGTGGAGAGGCCCTAGGCTGGGTGGCGTGTTCCGGAACCTATCATTGGAATTAGCCGAGTCAGGGAGAGAGGGGGCGGGGAGCGCTTCCGCTCTTGCTAGGAGGGGCTGCATTGCAGGGGAGACCCAGCGGCCGACTCTGTCACAGACGAGGGAGAAGGCGTGAGGAGACAAAGCTGCTCATCCCCAACATCTTCAGCAGCCTCCTCCTGTCCAGTCCAGAGCTGACCCGCGAGCCCCTGAGGCATTCTCTCCATCTTCGGAACACGCTAGTCATTCATTGGTAACAGGTAACCTAGATGAGGGGCAGCTTCACAAGCTGCAAAGACCCCCATGTAAGACTAGGTGGGGGACAGTTTAAGAGGAGAGAAGGGGGCGCTATGAACAATGGGTAGCTGTTAGCTACCAGATTTTTATCTCTGTTAAGATCTCCATCTATGCCTTATCATGGACCTAAGCGTTCATTTCTGACACTTTACCTGTAATTATTTCTCGGCATTTAGCTCTTCATTTCATGTATCCATTTTCCTATAATTTTTGCCCTGTGCATCTAATGACTTCTGTCTAGCATCTAGTTATCTGTATCTTCCTTTTCAAGCTATATAATTTTTGCTACCAGTTATTTGGTGAATCTTTATTCCTACTGTAATTCCTGTAGCATGTATTTCGTTGTATCTCTACCTCCCTTTCTGTGTCTGTTGTAGGGAGTTTTGGGGAGTAGGGTACACCTTTTTAATTTTCTTTCTTTTAAAATATGGTATACTGTTGAGAGTGATTCGAACCTTTAACAATCCCCTCCCCTGTCTCAGATTTTTACTTCAAAGAGGCTTGAGGTAGGACAGGTGGGGTTATCTGTGGATTGCCCGATGGCATGTTGCAATCAGTGCACACACGGGAAATACTGATGACAGCGATATGTTCTTTGCAGCCCCTCCTGATTAGTGGGGAAGATTGTGGCTAATAGGAAAGTCATAGAGCAACATGAGAAATACCAGAAAGCTGCCATTGCTATCCTCCACCCCTCCTTAGGCTGCATGGTGGCAGCATGACACAGCAAGACCCTGTGGAGCAGGCCTTGGATGCTCCTGGGGGGGGGGGCTGTCTGCACAAAGGGTATTTGGGTGTGTCCATGTGACTTAGAGAAAGTGTCTCTTTTTAGTGTGTGTGGTGATTAATCATTGTATCTAAGAATTGACAATGAAATTTACAAGTCACTTTGTCTAAAATACCTGGATAGTTCAAAATGTATGGCACTGGGAAACATTTATAGAACATTATTATGACGTCAGTCACCATCTAGAGCCTTTAAGGTAAACAAAAATAGGCAAAAAGGTGGGTGAAGAGCATTTACCGAAGGAAAAGGGAAGCCAGTTTGAAAACAGCCTGTCTTTTTTAATTTTTTATTTTAACACCCATATGCCTATATGTCTGTTTTCTGGACAGAGGGCTGGAGATTTTCAGCTTTTTAATAATTCCACACAGTTTCCTTTAAATTGTTTTATTTCGAATTGGTTTTGTATTTTGTTCATGTTCTTTTTGTTATTTTGGTGAGGGGCCCTGGACTCATTATGCGTCTCCAGGCTAGGTTTGAATCCGCAGCCCTTCAGTCTCCTGAATGCTGGGATTGCAGATGTGTGATGTCATGCCTGATTCTAGCTTTTTCATTTGGATGATAGTTCTGCTAGTCTCTGATAAACTGTTTAGGCACCTTTTATACATTTACATTTGTAAGGAAAGGAGTTAGTCAATGCTGACTTAAATTCTAGCTTATTCTCTATTTTTCAAGACAGAGGTCCTTGTAGCAGGCTACATCAAACTCCTGATCCTCCTCCCTCTACCTGCCAGATGGTGGGGTTACAGAACTCAGCACCTTATCCAGCCCTCCTACTATTCAGATTAGAAACACAGAAAGTAGTCAACAGACTATACTAAGAAAGTAATTATTTTGAGGACTAAATTCTTAGCTGCGAGTCCCTACACATGCCTGTAACCCCAGGACTCAGGAGCAGAGGCAGGGGTTCCAAGTTAGAAGCCAGCACTTGAGCTACATGTCAAGACCTTGCTTAAGAAAGAAAAATAAAACCACAAATAAATGTCTTTTTTTAGACACTGTGTAACCCTGGTTGGCTTGGAACTCACAGAGATCTATCTGCCTGCCTCTGTATTCTGAGTGCTGGGATTAAAGGCATGCCCCACCACTGCTGGGTCAAGATTTTTTTTTTTTTTAATGATTAAAAATTTTTTTTTCTTTTAAAAGTTTTTATATGTATTGGTGTTTGGTGTTTAGCCTTGTGTCTGTGTGATGATGTCAGATCCCCTTGAACCAGACTTACAGACATTTGTGAGATGCCATGTGGGTGCTGGGAATTGAACCAAGGTCCTCTGGAAGAGCAACCAGTGCTCTTAACCTCTGAGTCATCTCTCCAGGGCCCCACCCCTTACCCCCACCCCTATTAAAATTCTTAACATGCTGGTACATGTTTATATATATTCCTGGCTCCTAGGAAGTTGAGGCGGATCTCTGAGAGTACCAGGCCAGGGCTGGGCAGAGAGATGGCTCCGTGGGAAAAGCCATCTTTACCCACCCAAGTGTGCGGACCTGAGTTGTAATCACCAGAACCCACATAAAGCCGGGTGTGGGAGTGTAGCTGTAACCCAGCAAGATAGAAGGCAGAGGGGGAGAAGCCCCAGGAGCTCCCAGCCCAGCTTGCCTGGTTTACAGGGCAAACAAGGGAGAAGGCAGGGACTGGCAGCTGGAATTGTCCTCTCACCTCTACATAGGCGGATATGGACCCCATATCAAAATTTAAAAAAAAAAAAATTTTTTTTCTCATTTTAAGCCAGGTGTGATGGTGATGCCTGTGATCTGAGCACCCGGAAGCTGGAAGCGGTGATTAGCTAGAACCTTGAGTTCCAGGCTAGCCCAAGTTATATAAGTTTCTACATAGCCTGGGTTACATGGCTAGACCCTAGCTTAAAAGAACAAAAACATTTTTTGTTTCTTTTTCCTAATGATTCTTCTTTTAAAGAGCATATTATATAATCTGGATGTCCAAAGGATCAGATGTTCAAGGCCAGCCTCTGCTACTTTGGTTCATGGGCTACCTAAGACATTGTCTCTGGAAAACAGTTTATTATATGCCCAGCATTATCCAGTGACTCTGTAGGAGACTTAAGAGAGGAGTTTTTTTTTTTTTTTTGTTTTGTTTTTTTTTGTTTTTAAAGTAAGCTAGCTAGGCAAAACGTGGTGATATAATAAACGTCCCTGCTAATCAGAAGACAGTAACAGCCTGAAGCCTAAGGCTTGCTCATTAGTCTCTTTGGTTCAAGACCTAAGCAGGGATTGGTTGGCTGAGAGGTGTTATAGGTGTAGTCATGTTTGCTGGCTCTCTGCAAGTTACTATGGAGATGATCAGAGCTGAGTTCATAGGGCAGTGACCTCACCTTTCTACAAGCTCTTTGCCCTGCTTCAGTCCCGGCATCACGCTCTTGTTAAACTGCTTCTCTGTTGAGTAATGTTGAGTTCCTGGGGGCTTATTTTGGAGTTTGATGAAAGATAGAGAAGGAGGGAGGGATGGATGGTGGGGAAAAGGAAGGAAAGGAGGGGGGAAGAAAGAGTAAGGGAGAGAGAGGATGGATGGATGGATGTGTGGGTGGGTGGATAAAAGAACCCAGAATTTGCTTTTTTAAGCCAGGTATCTTGAATCGTGCCTGTAATCTCAGCATTTGGGAGATGAAGGCAAGAGGATCAGTAATTTGAAGCTAGCCTGAGCTATAGGACCTTAACTAAAAAAATTTTCTTTTATTTATCATTATTATTTTGCTTGTTATGTTTGAGCCAGGGTCTTGCCCAGCCTGGGCCCAAACTCATACTCCTCAAACTCTTGCCTGTGTCTCTTGATTGCTGGGATTATAAAGTGGCTAGTGCTAGTATTTTTTTAAATTTGTTTCACTTTATTTTATGTGCATTGGTGTGAAGGTGTTAGATCCCCTGGAACTGAAGTTACAGACAGTTGTGAGCTGCCTGTGGGTGCTTGGCATTGAACCTGGGTCCTCTGGAAGAACAGCCAGTGCTCCTAACTATTGAGCCATTTCTCCAGTCCCACTAGTATTTTTTTAAATGTTATTAAAAGGTCGTGGGATGGCCTGAAGGTGGTTTCAAACCTTTAATCCCAGCATTCAGGAGGCAGAGGCAAATGGATCTCTGCGAGTTCGAGACCAGCCTGGTCTACAGAATGAGTTCTAAGGCAGCCAGAGCTATACGGAGAAAGACTGTCTGGAAAAATCAACTAACCAACCAAACAAGCAAAAGAACCTGAGTTCAAATCCCCAAATAAAAAGCTGAGTGTGGTTGCCTACATCTGTAGCCCCAGAAATAGGGGAGGTGGAGACAGGAGGTTCTCTGGACTTGTTGTCCACCAGCCTTGCTCCAGGTTCAGAGACCTGTCTCAAGGGAAGAGAGCACATACTGATAGATCAGGACACCTTCTGTCATCCCCTTACCTTCTTCCACATACTCACGGGTGTGATGCTCTTATGTACACCTGTGTCTGTTTATCCTTGCACAAGATTTAGGGGGGAAAGCAAAGTCTGAAACTGAGTGTGTGGTACTGAGCTGGAATCCCAGCTCTCTGGAGACTGAGACAAGAGGATTGCCAGAAGTTTGAGGCCCAGATGCACTCCACACTGAGTTGCAGCCAGGGTTACAGAGGAAGACCCTGTCTCAAAAAGACAGCTCAGAAGTCCCCACCTGGTGTGGTGATGCATTCCTGCAACCCCAGCACTAGGGATGCCTCCGAATGCACCATGGCTTTGTTCAAAGTTAGCCTGGAGACTCAATACTGAAAACCCACTTCCCTCTACCTGCCAACCCTTAACCCCTGCACTTCCTGCAGGTTGTGGTCAAGGCTAATTTTCCTGCTTTGGTAGAGACATTTCACATCATAGAGGGACACTTTGGGGCCTACTTAAGGCCACTTTTTTAGGAGTCATGGGCTGCTAAGAGCTGAGAGCTAAGACCTTCCAGAAAGGTCTTTTGAAACTCTGGCTTCTATTTTTGGTGGCAGTGGAATGTTCTTTTTGCTCCTTTGGGAACATTTCAACTAAAGTTTCTTGCCCTTTCCCTGGCTAGTAAGTAACCCATGGAGGCTCCAGAGAGCTCTACTAGTCATAGAGTCAGGAGGTGTGGGTTAAGAGGCAGAGGTACTACAACTGCTTGTTAAAACATGGAAAGAGTAGTTGGGCATAGTGGTATATGCCTTTAATCCCAGAACTCAGGAAGAAGAGACTGCCAGCTCTTGGTCAGTTTAAGGCTAGCCTGGTCTGCATAGTGAGACCCTGCCTTGAGAAAAAGCTGAGATTCTGTCAAGGTACCATTTCCTTCAGATACAAATTTTGTTTCCTTACATGGTTGGTCTCTGATGTCAGATTTACTCTCTAGCAATGCGGATCCTGGTTAGTTGAAGGAAGTTATTCTAGCATCTGGGTTTGTTTTGAGGAGAGGCCAGGAGACATAATGAAGATTGTCACTCTAGGGACAAATATGTGAGAGTAACAAAGTATCCACTGAGCTAGTAAGGGCAATTTAATGTTTATATGTAAGGCCTAGCTCCTGCCTTACCCCAAAGTAGATGTGCTTTTTGTTTTTGATTTTTGATCCTAGAACTGAAAGATCACCTGCCTCTGCCTACCAAGTGCTGGGATTCAAGGCATGAACCACCAAGCCCAATCTAGTAGGTGGGTTTTTTACCCAAAGAGGAATTTTTGGTCTCTTTAAGGAAATAATACATAAAACATATTCAGCCCATTGAGATCTGTAACCAAAACATGATGGAGTCAGGTAAAGCTGCAGGGTGCCAGGGAAGGGCACGGGGTGGGGGGGCAGCTGGGTAGATGGAGATCAACTGCTTTGGGTGGGGATGATGTCCTGGAAGAGGTGAGTTTGTAGTTGAGTTTAAAGGCAAGAAGAAAAATAGAACATGTTGTGGAAGACCTTTCCAGAAGCATAACTTTTTAAACAGACTTGAAGAAGCCAAATATTTAGTTCTGGGAATGTATAGGGTCTGGTACTTGTCTTAGAAAACTTGGCTTATTCACTAGAGCAAATAGAAAAGAGCAGCTTAAGCAAGGGACGGCTCTGGGCAAGGACCTTGCATTAGCATGAAGCTAACAAATGATTTGCTCTTCCCAGGGAATTATGAGGGACCCTGTGAGTAGCCAGTACAGCTCCTTTCTTTTCTGGAGGATGCCCATCCCAGAACTGGATCTCTCGGAGCTGGAAGACCTGGGCCTGTCAGATACACCTACCTACAAGAGCAAAGGCAGCAACATTGGCAAAATGGGTGGTCAAGCAACCAGAGCAGAGCAGAAGAACCCTGAAGGCGATCTTCTCCTTGAATACAGCACCTTCAACTTCTGGAGAACTCCCATTGCCAGCATCCACTCTGTCGACTTGGACTTGCTTTAAGGCCAAAACGTCTCTCTCCCACCCTTTATCCTCATTGCCTTCCCTTTTGAGTCCCTTCCTTTCTAAGCCTTTCCCACTTTAATCTTGTTCTCTTCCCTCTATTGTGCTGGTGGTGCTGATGAATCTGCCAATTGAATTGTATGTATGTTTGTACGTATTTATTTTTATTTATTTGTTTATTTATTTATTTATCTGCCTGCCTACTCCATTTCTCTCAAAAGCCTTCTAGGCACAAAGTTAAGGGTTTAGGCATTGAAATACTATCGCATAGGATTTCCACCCCCAACCCTGAGAATATTAACTAGTCCCAGAAAACCATCCTTAGTGGGGGCATTAGAGAGAAGTACAAAGTTGTGCGTAATGGAAACTTTTTTTTTTGGTTATATTTTAATCAGCCTCAAAGATTTCCTTGATCCTCCATAATTCCCTGCATGAAGCTAGTAAGCAAATATTTCTTCAAGAAGTAATGAGAACCTGGAAGTTTTGAGATGCTTTCTACAAAACAGGATTCCTAAAAGGCAAAGGTAGTTAAGTTCTGTTTCTTCTTGTAGCACAGTCTCTTCCCCAGAAACATGGGGTACAAGAGAAAATAACAAATCCTGGAGAATGAAAATGAGGAAAAGCATGGAACCATTTCAGAAATTGTTTTGTTTGATTTTGGCTTTTTGAGATAGGGTTTCTTTGGGTAGCTTTGGAGCCTGTCCTGGAACTAGCTCTTATAGATCAGGCTGGTCTCCAACTCACTGAGACCCTCCACCTCTGCTTCCCAATTAAAGGCATGTGCCACCACCCGCCTGGCTCAGAAATAGTTCTTTTAGCATCCACCTCAACTCTGCTCCCAGCTGTGGGTTAGAAACTTTTCAGAAAAATCCATCTTCATGTGGGAAACCTTAGTATTAGGATAATCCATAAAAGGTAAAAGATTTATATGATCTAAAGAGAAACCATATTAGGATAATTTATATAAAATTGTGATTCAGTCACGGAACAGGCAGAGTGTTTTGGTCTTTAGTATTTCAGCTTTGCCTTTCTGTAGTTGCAGTATGTGATAGGGATCGATGGTTCCTGGGCATAGTTCTTCGGCTACTATAAGACCATCAAATAAGCAATTATATTCAGACCCTACACCTGTCCTCATCCCTTCCAAAATTATTGCTGCTGATTTGTGCTGCCGTTTATTCATTTATTTAATAAAGATGTTGAATCCTGTCTGGGTTTTGGTTTTCTCTTCTCAGTTAGGTACTACAGATCTCAGAATCTGCTTGTGCTTTCACATCCAGCATTTTGTTTCATCTTCCTAATATTGACTTTGAGGAAGAAGGATTTGGGATGGATGTAGCTTGAGGTGTAAGTGCTTGTCAGGCATTTACAAGGCCCTGCTAGAGTTCCTCAATAACCAGCCAGTGCTCCTAAACCCTAAGCTACATCTCCAGACCATTTTTTTGTTTGCCACACCGGGTTTCTCTGTGTAATAGTACTGGCTGTCCTGGAACTTGCTTTGTAGACCAGGTTGGCCTCGAACTCAGAGATACATATGACCACACCTGGCACCCCAGCCCATTTTTAACTTTTATTTTTAACTTATTTGTGTTTTGCTTGTTTATTTATTTTTCTGTTGTTGGTTTATTTTTTTTGAGACAGGGTCTCATTAGTTGTCCTGGTACTCACTATGTAGACCAGACTGGCCTTGAACTCACAGAGATCCGCCTGCCTCTATAGGAGGTGTGCCTCCATGCCCAAATTGTTTGCAAGTTCATGCTCCATCCTCTTCCAGTCTCCCGCTCCCCCCCCCAAAAGAAAGGTTTGAGTGTGTCTTTCCTGAGATGAGAATGTCTTTATATTCAGGCTATAATTGGCAAAGTGTCTGGTCAGGCAGGTGTCCAATTCACGTGCATAGCCAGGAATGTCCTGAACAGTATCACTGGGGTTGAGTCATGGAGGCAAGAGTCTCCCACAACCCTAAGGCTAGCCCTGCGGAGGACCAGTGGAAAGGTAGAACGCAAACTCCAAAAAGACCCACCAGTAACCTAATTTCCTCTTAGCCCTGCACGCGTTGGCGCCAAAACCTCCACCTCGGTCCGTCCCCCTCCGGAACTATGCCTCACGTAAGCCACGTAATCAATGATCCTGCGCCTCGCAAAGTAGTCCCGTTCATGATGCTCTCAGTACACGCTTTTCCAGTTCAAGAGGTCTTCAGTAGGAAGAAATCAGCCTCACAGGTGCGTTGCGGTCGTGACCGAAGGGCAACGTGGGTTTTCTAACCCATTTCCTCCAGATTCCTCCGCCAGGAGGCATAGTCTCCGGGCCTTCACTTCCGGGTCCGCCATTTTATCGCCTCCATTTCTCCGCGAGGGGGGGTGAAGGCCCCCCAAATATGCATATGTGAAGGGGCCAAAAAGTGACGGCCACTGGCAAGGAGTCTTAACTAGAGAAAGAAACGGGACCAAACTGGCGGTCTCAGTGGCAGCGAAGCCGGCCGCGCTCCGGACGAGGTGAGGGGGAAGGAGCGTCCGCACCGCCGTGGAAGGTGCCGTGACAAGTGCCCAGCCCAGCCCGGACCTGTGGGCGCGGGCCAGGAGACTGCCGGAGCGGGGGTGGCAGCGGGGGGAGAGGGACAAAGAGGAAGGGGATGCTGTCGGGAGGAAGGGGAGGGGACTGGGAGGAGGTGAGGGGGTGGGTGGAAGACCTGGGGCTGGGGAGCCGGACTGCGGGAAGCCAAGGCCACAGGGGTGACCGCTAGGGGGCAGCGTGGGGCGGAAGCCCAGGCTGCTGCGAGCCTCAGACTTGGGGCTCCCGCTTGCAAATTGGTGTCCCTCTTTTTGGCAGACAGAGCGCTGGTGTGGAAAACTGAAGGATAATTGAGGAGGAAGCGAGCGGGCACTCTTAAGATATCTGGGTCTAGGAATAACGTCTAACTCATAATCTGAACAAGAGCAGTCATGGCCTTATATCCAATTCTTACAAAGATGTTTGAACAGCTGGCCGCCCAGTGGGGACGTGTGCATTAAAAAAAAAAAAAAAAGAATAAAATTATCCATAGACTATGCATTCTTTAAGTGCTGTTTGTTTCCTAATAAGTGTGCTCCTGGCATCACTCCACTTGCCTTCCCCGTCCGTAAAGGCTTTGAGCCTCACTAAGTAGCTCAGACAGACCACCTTGCAGCTGTCCTGAAGTATTGTGATTCCAGAGGTGAGCCACTATGACTGGCTAGTCATGAGGGTTTTTTTGTTTGTTTGTTTGTTTGTTTTTTGTTATTGTTTTTTAAAAAATGATTTCTCTGTGTAACAGCCCTGGCTCACATAGATCCACCTGCCTCTGCCTCCTGAAATCAAAGGCACATTCCACCATGAGCACTGCTAGCCCTGTTTTTATCCATGCTTTGATAAGGAAGAGCAAACCTCACATCCAAATTGTGAGATAAACAGAAGTGATTACTTTTGATTATTTGTTAGTGGGGGTCCTTTGTCAAGTGCCCAGGCACTCCATGCCTTTAAAACATTTATTGAAAGAACATTCTAAAACTAAGTATGATGCCATATACCTGTAATCCCAGAGCTCATTTGAGAAGAGGAGGTAAAAGGATCCAGGTGTTCAAGGCCAGCCTGACTTGAAAGAAAAGAAAAAGACAGTTTTCTGGTCTTGCTTTGTATTTTATTCAACTGCAGATGTCCTGGAGGCAGGACTGGGAGTGTAGCTCAGGGGTAGGTGTGTGTCTAGTATGCCCTTTCCCCTGGATTCAGTCCCTAGCACAGAGCAACTAGAAAGAAAAGAAAAGTTAGGCTACAGATTAGACCAGATTCTGTGCAGATTTTAATGTGGAGGCATACCCTATACAGGAGAGATGGTTCTTTGTAATGTTCAGAGTGTTAGAATTGTGTAGGTGGGGGCCAGTGAGATGATTTAGTAGGTAAAAGCTGCTCTGGGAATACCCACAGAAGTGCACACAAGGAAATAAGTTTGACTGCCTGCGGTATTTTCTAGACTTAGGATTCACATACCCTGATGTGGTGGTGCTGTTATTTTCCTTAAAATTGTATTACAATGTATGTATGTGTATGTGGAGGTCAGAGACTACTTCGAGTAGTCAGCTCCTCATGATGTGGAAACGAGCTCCAACTTAAGGTTATCAGGCTTAATAGCAGACCTTCACCCACTGAGCCATATATTGAACGGGCCCACAAGATACTGTTATCTACAGGTGCATTTTAATTCAAGTGGGTACTTCAGGTTAAATCAGGAGTGACAAGACAGGAAGGAGAGCCTCCAGAACAGATTTCTAGATCATTTTTCCCAGAATACAAGTAGGAATCAAGCTTAGAAGACATTCCCACATGGGTAACCAAATATAAGAACTGGTTTCCCAACTGGGTGTGGTGGCACACACATTTAATCCCAGCCATCGGGAGGCAGAGAAAGGTGGATCTCTGAGTTCGAGGCCAGCCTGATCTACAAAGTGAGTTCCAGGGCGGCCAGGGCTACACAAAGAAACTCTGTTTCAAAAAAAAAACCTGTTTTCCCATAATTTTTGTTACTGGTAACTTTTGGAAGGTCTGGCATAAGCAACTGCATTCCCTCGTTGGTTTGAAACAGGATTTTCTGATACTTAGGCCAGCCTCCAACTCACCATTATCCTCATTCAGGTTCCCAAAGTGCTGGGATTACAGGCAGCTGTCATCATGCCCAGCATGACTTTATTTTATTTTGACTCCCTCCTTTCACCATGCTTGCCTCTAAACGGTTTTCTCTGTATATCCCTCATTACCATGATGATCTGTTCAGATTAGTCTGATCTGATCCCATGTTGGGAGAGTGACAGATGTCGAGGAATTAGTACCGTCAGTTAATTTTAAGCTGAAGAGATGGCTCAGTGGTTAAGAGCACCGGCTGCTCTTCCAAAGGACCAGGGGTTCAATTCCCAGCACCCACATGGCAGCTCACAACTGCCTGTAACTCCAAGATCTGTCACCCTCACACAGACATGCATGCAGGCAAAACACCAGTGTTTATAAAATAAAAATAAATTTAAGCAGATAAGAGATATAGATGAAGTGGTTTTTAGGTCAGTTTGCATGAAGTCTACATGTTTGAATTCTGTTTCCCCTGTAGATGAAGCCCTAGCATCTCAGAAATGCTTCTCGCTTTTTTTTTTTTGTTGGAGGTTGTTGTTCTACAGAATATCAACAGGCAACAATTAAAAAGCTTCACAAAAACACCAGTAAAAACACCAGTAAGAGCAAATAATTAATGAGAACTAGCTTGAAAATTCAATGTTGTTTATAGGTATCTCACTTAAGTCATCAGTGTCCAATAGCTTTGAATTATTAGAAGCACTGCTTGGAGTGTGATGTTACAGTCTAATTATCTTTGTTTAAAGCAACTAACTAGTCAGTACAATTAGGAGCACATAACACAGACTTCAGAACAGGAAGTACCACTAACAATTTTAGCTTGACCCCTCCAAGCAGTTTGATCCTAAACTATGCATCTTAGCTTATACAATATAGCAGGCATGGAAATACATTTAACACGTAAAGGAGCCTGCAACATTAGGCATCATTACACAGAACCATACAGAAATCCTGTATATAGTCACTCAGCGTCTGCTCATTAAGCAAAAATTAAAATCTTTAGTTCTCTAGGTCTACCACACCAACAAAATCCAATGTTAGACCTCCACAAATTTAGCAATTTAGTGACAGTGACACAGACTTATTTCTGGTGTGTGTTTCATATGTACAAAACAAAATATTTTCATTCTGAGGCCAATAGATGGAGACCAAGGTTTGAAACAGCAGTATTACCCAAATGGCGTGCTTTTTTTTTTTTGACCAGTAGGGAGCTTTTTAAATTTATTGTTTAATGTAGGAGTGCTTTGTCTGCTTGTATGTCTGTAGACCAGAAAGGGGCAATCCCATTATAGATGGTTGTAAGCCACTATATAGGTGCTGGGAATTGAACTCAGGTCCTCTGAATGAGCAGCCAGTGCTCATAACAGTTAAGCCATCTCTCCAGCCCAAACAGTATTAGCATGCGTGTGTGTGTGTGTGTGTGTGTGTGTGTGTGTGTGTGTGTATGTAAATGCACACATAACTATGGTGCATGTGTGGAAGTCAAAGGACAGTCTTCCTGAGTCAGGTCTCTTCTACCATAGGGTTTCAAGAAATTGAACTCCAGTCCATCAAGTCTGTGGCAAGCGCTCTTACCCACTGAGCCTTCTTTTCTGCCAGTGAACAGTACTCATTACAAATACCAGAAATGGCTAGGCAGTGGTGGCGCCACTGTGAGTTTAACAAAAAACAGAAATGAACTGGCTTTGGGGACAATACTCTTAATACCAGCACTTGGAAAACAAAGGCAGGAGATCTCTGAATCCATGGCCATCAGGGGTTATTTAGTGAAACTTTGCCCTTATAAAATTAAACAAAAAAGCCCAGAAATGTCAAAGAATTTCATTGGCTATCCCACATGTTGACAATCCAGGTATAATGCACATTGCATAATACAAAACACTTAATAGTCACTTTGCATGTTCTAAATTTGCATTTATTTAACTCAAATGTCTACATAATATGTGTAGGTTACACGCTACATATTTTAGTCACAAATACATAGGGTGTTAAATGTACTAAGATTACCTTAGAATAGTTGCTTGCAAAGTAGTCATTTAAAAGACAAAAACAGAAACTTAAAGGAACTGACTGCCCTGGGACTCATAGTCCAGGCTGGTCTTGAATCCCAGAGACACCCCATCCCTCCAGGGCTGGGATTAAATACATGTGCCACCATTGCCAACAAGATTTTTTTTTTTCTTGGTTTTTCAAGATAGGGTTTCTCTGTGTAACAGCTCTGGCTGTTCTGGAACTAGTTCTGTAGACCAGGCTGGCCTTGAACTCACTAAGATCCGCCTGCCTTGGACTCCCTAGCTCTGGGACTAAAGTCACCACTGCTCAGCTTTTTTTTTTTTTTTTTTTTAAGACTTATTTTCAACTTTAATCCCAACACTCAGGAGACAGAGGCAGGTGGATCTGAGTTCAAGGCCAGCCTAATCTACAGAGCAAGTTCCAGGACAGTAAGGGTTACACAGAGAAACCCTGTCTAGGGGGTAAAAAAAATTAAGACAGGGTTTCACTTTGTAGTGACACTGAGATCCATCTGCCTCTGCCTATACATATGTCTGTATCTGCTTGTCTGTATGTATACTGTGTGTATGTGTTGCTCTTAAAGACCACAAAGAATGCATCAGATATCCTGGAACTCCAATTCCAAGGGGTTGTAAGATGTCTAATTGTGTGCTGGGAACTAAACCCAGGTTCTCTGCTAGAGCAGCAACTGTTCTTACTCTCCAAGCCATCTCTCCAGCACCAATATTTATATTACTTTAAATCATGTACATGTGTCTGTGTGTAGGTTTGTGCAAGTGACTGCAGAGTTAGGAGAGGGTGTCTGGTCCCATGGGACTAGAATTACAGGGTGCAAACTGGAGCCCTCTGA